ATTTTTTGTGATTGTGTATAACCTAAGTATTTATGACTTGCGTTACTGACTGTACTAGTTTGTTACGTTCGTTTGCAAATTGTAATGGCTATTTCATGAAATTAGCAATTATCTTTCAAACCATCATAATGGAAAAGGTAATCATGTACTTGATGGCCTATCTTTTTATGGCATAAGCCGGGAAATAAGCAGACGGATCACCTGACGGTAAGCAATCGGCGTCGCCCATGGACACTTGAAACACCAGAGGCGTTTGTCGTTACCGGCTTTTTTTGGGGAATTTGAGGATTGTGTTGGATTCTGGGATTGGGGAGACTGGGAAGAGGGGGGGGGGGAGGGGCAATTGGGCCTCCGGTAACCTCACTCATATGACGAAATACAACGCAGGCGTTGTTTCACGTCGCTTTTCCGGTTCCAGTCGAGCCGGCCCATTGATGCCGAAGCATGGCTCTCCCACACTTAAAAAAACTAAGAATTAGGTTGTACAGAGGGCTTACTGTGAGTTTCGTACGAATCGTAACGAGTACGCGTTCGGCGCTCTAAGGCCTTAGTACGAGTTTGATTTACGTTTAAAGTATTCGAAACGAGTATGCGTTCGGCACGCTGATTGGCCGGCACTAATGAAGCAACCAATCACAGCGCCAAACGCGTACTCGTTACTCTAAGGCCTTAGTACAAGTTTGTTTCACGTTTAAAGTAATCGAAACGATACTACCGTCAGCTCTCCGATTGGTTAATTAATTGGAGCCGGCCAATCAGAGCGTCGAATACGTACTCGTTTCGATTATCTACTTTTAACGTAAAACAAACTCATATTAAGGCCTCACGTATTATTTACTTTGTACTTAGTTTATCAAGTTCGAAGTTAGTAAGAAGAGATTAGATATCTCCTATGAAGTTTTAATCTAAAATATCACTCAATAGAAATACCTGAAAATAATAATATTAAGTACCTAAGTAACCAGTATATCTATTTACTTGGGAAATTCTTATTGAAAAACGTTACACAAGGACTGTCGTCCAAGGCGATAAGAATATAGAGAGAACTTTGAAAAAATATTTCCATTGAATCCATAAAGAGATGTCCGGCAAAGAGTTGTGTGAAAGGATTAGGAAAGGAGGTTCTACAGTGCAAAAGGCTTATCTATGGACACCCTCCATTATATTCAAATATTTTTCTAGTGATATTTTATTTTTACGAGTAAGCTTGAACGCAAAAAAAGATATCTTTGATCTCTGCGTCTTTGAGAGAAGATTAAAAACACATTTTGCGCTGTTTATTTTTATTATTGTTTGCTTGAGAAAGATTTGAAATTAGCAACGAAAATAATATCTGTAATCTGTGTTAATGAATGGACTAAGTTTGCAAATTATTTTCACCTTTATAATTCAGGATTTCTAGTAACGTGAAATAAAAAAGGAAATTTTAAGTGTAGGAGGGCCGGCTCGACCGGCGTGATCCCCACGACCTCACCGAAAACCGACGTGAAGTAACACTTAAGTTGTTTTGCGTTGTGTGTTAGACAGATCAAGCTTACGTTTCTTAGATTAAACTTACGTTTAATCTGTCACGCTGCAGTTTACATTGGCGTTTTCTTTTTTATGACTATGTCTCGTTGGCGGAGTAGTCGCAAGTGTGACTCCTGGACAAGGAGTCTCGGTTCTGTTGCCGGGTCGGGCAAAGTTTAATGGGTTTTTTTTATTCTTAGTAGTAGCACGAAGCCTGGAATTGTGCCCTGTATATGGTAATAGGATCACCCCCTATTACATGGGACTCATAACATAAATTATAGTGATAAGTGGGTGTTACATTGTAAAGTGGCATTAAGTACTGTAATGTGCATCTCTGCCTACCCCTTCGGGAGTAAAACGCGTAATGTTATGTTAATAACATAGATAGGTATATGTCTACTTACACGTGCAATTATATACATCCATGTATGTACACAAGATCGCACGATCTCAAAGTAATTTTTCTTTTAACCCTTTGAGTACCGTCATTATAGACACAATTAAAGAACAATAGGTTGCGGTCACCGGTGTCCTCGCGGTGTTTGACAGTTTGTCCGTTCAAAGGCTGACTAGAAGATATACCTACTATTACCTACCTATGCATAGTTTTGTGCAATAGGAGAGATATGCAGTCATAAATTATATATATATAGTATATAGGTATAGTGTTAATTAATAATTCCAATGAAGGAACCATTCAATCACACACGAGATGGACGACGCGACCGACGGCTGCATGAAAACGTCCCATCGACACGACGACGTTTAAAACAATAATTAAGAATGTCTCGTGATAGCTGTTATTTTTCAATAAAGGGTACTGATGTTAACATAACGATAACTTTTGAGTTTGTTTAGGCAATTTTTCTCAGAGTAATCAGTTAGGAACTGTCGGCCTCATCGTTCGCTTGATAAAATTGACGTGTAATTAAATGCTGCTTTAGAGCATATTTGCAGAAATAAATTCACTTGTTTCACACATTAGCCAGAATATTGCATCAAACGTCAAACGACAAGAGTAATAAATATGTCAAACTATATAAATAAATTATAAATAAACAAGATTTTCCTTTTTTCGTAACAATAGCTACGACAACAATACCAGTTGTTAATCATATCTTCAACTGTAATTAATATGTTTCGATTGCAGTATTTATACATATTTATTGTACTAGCAAGTACCTATACACTCGGCCGTAATCCCCACCATTAGGATCGCAGTTAGGTTATACGCTCGTTCCTGCTGACTTGTAGTAGTTCTTTGGGCGTAACTAGGTGATGATGACATGGTGATAGTCGCATTTCAGACCTCAACAAATTACTACTTTTGCGAAGCAGTCGTGCTAGCTAAGGAGGAGGCAGGACGTGTGAGGCAGCGAAGAGCTGCCTCCTCGCAACCCAGCCATCGCGAAGGACACACCGGGCGTCGGGGATCGCGAGACGATCTCCGGCCACCGTAAGCGCGGGCCTGCGGACGGCGAGCATGGGTGGCTCCCCGTCCGATCAGAAACAGACCTGAGCGTACGGCGCGTCGCGTTCCGCGCGCGCCTCAAAGAGCCATCAGACTACCACAGATGGGGCCCAATAGGGCCGATGCCGATTCGGAGTCGCGGAGAACCTAACGGGTAACCGGGGCTCCGGCTCAACGTGCAGGAGAAGGAACGGGGTGGTTTTTAGTCAGTAAGAGTCTGACACTCCCTTCCGCCTCACCCAGGCGGGAGCAGTCATTCGATGATTTTCCCCCCTTAAAAAAAAAAGTAATACTTGTAGCATTTCCGTAGTAAGTGCTACAGATAGCTAAAATAACTCATTATTTGTAGCATTTTTGTTAGGTACATTTCCATAGCAATAACTACAGATTGCTACGAAAATGCTCCAGTCCTATCGTTTCCATAGCAACTGCTACAGACAGCTACAAAGTCGCGTAACGTGTAGCGCTTTTGTAGCAAATGCTACAGATAGATACAAAAACGCTCTACTTGTAGCATTTCCGTAGCAACAGCTACATATTGCTACGAAAATGCTTTACTTTTTATCATATTCGTAGGAACTGCTACACATAGCGAAAACTTAATTGCTTGAAACATGTATGTAGCAACAGCTACAGATTGCTCCGAATATGCTCTAGTTCTATTGTTTAGCATTTGTTACAGATAGCTACAATATCGCGTGACGTGTTGTGCTCTCGTAGCAACTGCTACAGATTGCTACGAGAACGCTTTCCTTGTAGCATAATCGTAGCAAAGCAAAGCTACAGATACCTGAAAAAGCGCATTACGTGTAATATCTGCTACAGATTGCTACATTAACGCATTATTTGTAGCAGATTCGCAGCAGATATTATAGATAGCTACGAAAAAGCATTATACGTACTTGATCCATCGTCGCTACAACTGCTAAATGGTAAAGGATCACTATAAACTCTAAAATATACTAAGTCTACCTATTTTGATTGCAGTAGAGTCACATCGGAGAATCCTGCTTCACCACGAATGTGCCAACTTGACCGGAGTGATACCAAGGCCTTGCAGAAAACTGGCATATGAGTGACGTTACATACAAGACCGTAGGTCCAAGTCAAATATTTGACTGCATGGTTGGCGCGATGGCTGCTGCGCAATGTGTTGCGGGTTCGATTCCCGCACGAAAAAACTCTTTGTGTGATCCACAGATTGTTGTTCCGGGTCTGGGTGTCATGTGTATGTGAACTTGTTTGTTTGCAAACGCACTCACGACACAGGAGAAAATACTAGTGTGGAGCAACGTCTAAAAAAATACCCCTCTAAGGCCAGCAAAGCACTTTTTATTCCTTTGCAGGCTTGCAGGTGCTGATTTCTTATCATTAGATAAGCGCTATTCGCATGGTCAGATGAGTCTATAAACAGCCGTATTCTGCCGCAGTGGAAGAAATGCTCTAATATGCCCAGTACCCGTTACAGCACGCGTACGTCGGCTGCAGTAACGTGTATGAAATATGACAATTTTGGAAAGCAAAAGGCAGGTTTAGTTATGCACTTCACAGTGGGGATTTTAAGTTTACGAGCACACTACAATTTCCTAAATGTATCTGATGCTAGTATTTTAATATCTGCTAATTATTTTAATTGAACATAGGTACCTAGATTCTTAGGTATGTTCTGAACTAGAATTTTAAAGTGTTTTTATCTGTTGAAAATATGTTTGCACTACATAATTGGATTTGGAATATTCTCTTTTTTTAAGTATTATTTTTATTTGAGTTGCATAAGGTAGGTCGGAAAATGATTCTCTAAAGATCATTTTCCGTTGGTTATTATGGTTCGGTACTTTATTTACTAGAGATTAGTATCCAAATGAGCATTAAAAATAGCGTATTAAGTAAAGCTACCTGTGATCTGTAGAAGCTAGAGTAGGTATAGACGTGAAAAATGGTTGGAAAACTTTCAACTTTTTTAAGGATCGAGTAAGGTAGACTTTTACATAATTAGGTAAATATTAAAATAACTTACGAAACGCAGCAAGACCAGCTCCAAAAGCTAGTTGTTGGTGCGGCAGCAGCATGGGGCGCGGACACAGCGGCAGCGGCGGCGGCGGCGGCCACAGCTGGGGCTCCCTGGCCTGCAGCTCCACTGACCCCTCACTCTCGCCTATTTCCACGTCCGAGGAAGAGTCGCTCTCGAACCCCTGCACGTTATCCACCACACTCGGTCGCTTAGGTTCCTCGAGATGCCCGTAAATCCTAGCAAAGAATTTCCGCGGCGAAGACGGTCGCGGTGCTTGTAACGTTTCCGCGGTTTTTGCGTCCGTCTGACCATTATCCTCGAGTTCCTCGCTCATCACGATAATTAATCGACCCACGTGTGATCTGATTCCGGGATAGTGATCAATTGACAGCGTCAGGTGCATAACATCCCCGAGGAGAGCCCCGCCTCCTGTTCGTTCCCTTTTCATCCCGCGCGGGAACAATGAGGGGAACGGGTGAGACCAATGAGCGCCCTCCATTTTTACAAACCCGACCCACTAGGCGGGACTATAACTTAGTAAAAGTTTACATTTTCCTAACTTAGATAAAGAAATAAGATGATGTTAGTGTTTATTTTTATACCTAGAACTGTTGCTGTTTATAGTTGATAATAGATATTCAAGCTTTATCTTTTTCATGAATTAATGACAGGTCTTTCCCTACTTCAAGCGACATTTTCAGTACTTATTTACTTATAATTAAATTGCACTTATATGTAATTACATTTAATTTAGCCATTACCCAACTAATTTAAGATTTTGAAGTCTGGTTTCATAACATTTTTTTTCTGGATTTTCTCCTGTGTCGTTGGTTAATTCAACGTAAGTCGTGGTTGCGAGAATAGAACTCGTGACGTCATTTCTCAGACAGTTTTCGTCTGTCTACATATAAGTAAATATGATTTGTTAGATTTATTGTAGGGTGAGTGAGTATATATTAAAAATAAAATAAATTAAACGCTAGAAAAGAAATAGCAAACGTCGCATTCGCCGCATCGTAAGTTTTATCCATTTTATCAGTCAGAGTTTTGACTCTTAGCTCTTGCTTAATTTATAAGTAGGTACCTACCATAATGTATCGGTAATACGATTGCATACTTTTTGTAATATAACCTCGGGTTGTTGAGACAGTTATAAAAAAAACAAAATGTCATAAATGGGTGCGAACGATAAAAAATTCGGGCTCATCCATTTTAATGTTTAAATATTTAGTGAATTGCAGTATAATGCAACGTAATGCAGCGGTTTTAACCATTTTGTGCATATTTTTATGTCTTACGTTCAACTACACCTTCCCGTTGCACAGAGAGGGTTCCAATGTGTTCATAGATGTTTACGGCAATCGTAAGTATCTTAGTATTTTTAACATCCTTTTATACCCCGAAGGAGAAAGCAATGGCACATAATTTAATGTAACACCCTCTTTTCACTACTTACGTTATCAGTCTCATGCAAAAGGTGTAAGTTACGAGTCTACTGCCCTACACCGGACAATATCTTAGACCTACATAGTTAAGCTGTTATACTCTTTATTTAAATACTTATCAGTAACGCATTCCACACAAAAGTCTACTTAAAATATGTTTTTAGACTCCAAAATTTGCACAAGAAGTGATCACCACGACAATATGCTAGACAGAACAAAAAAGATGGGCAACAAACTAGACAATGCATTCAAAAGATTTAAAGACTCGACACAAGATTTTTCAAGAAACATTCAAGCACGCTTGGCCAGCGTGAAAAACTCTTTAAGTGAAGAAGATCTGCGACAGTATGAACAACTTGTGATTATGAAAAAATACCCCTATCTAGATCTTAAAGAAATAGAGTTCAAATTTAATAGTCCACCTGAGAAAACTGCCAGGCAAAGCGTTAAATATGATGCCGGAAGAAACTACGTTGGCGACCCCAGTTTCTGTGAACCTTTAGATGAATCACCAAGTGTAGAAATAATAAACAGAGGACTCACTGGATTTGCAATACCAGCCAAAATAGTAAAGAGTACTAAATTATTGGAGACTAAATTAAAACTTAACAATGTGAAGGCTGCTGAAGACAATGCAAATAATAATGTGAAGTTAACTGTGTCTGCAAATTCTGCAACACAGTCCGATACGAAGGCCAATATCCATGATGATACTGTATTTTATGAAGCGTAAAATTTAAAAATAAACACATATGATTTGCTTAGGTACTACTTAATTAGGTGTTGCACTTATTATTTATGTTTTTTTAATATCCTTTGTTTTATTTTTTGTATCAGTACACAATGTAGTCACATATAGTATCTGGCTTCACGTATAGTATATTACTTACCATAACATTAAATTATATTAAACTGCATATATACAGGGCACAGTGGCTAAGTAACCGACTCCTACGCAACACGTTGCAGAGAAGAATTGAAAACATTTTCAATGTCTTTGGTTGCAGGTTTGATTCTCAAGCAATTTATTGCTCATAATAGTTGTTCTAAAGTTTGCCAGTACAAACCTAATGTAATAAACCAGACATCGATAAATATACTGATATTAACGAAGAGTTACCTAAAGTATTGTAGTTCGAATGTTTTTAAATGGGTTGAAGAAGAAAAACTATTTCATTTATTTTATTGTACGATACAGGAACATAATTGACAAAAATAGAACAGATTTCACCTTAGACAGTTCGGCTTAATTTCTTTTTAATTTTTTCTTCATTATCGGTATAGAAAGCCTAGTTACTATTGTTTGATAGTGCTATTACTGACTCTACACATGACCAGAGGGCTGGCTATATCTTCGTACAGAAAATAAGCATTGCCATTCAACGTGGCAATGCTGCCAGTCTTCTGGAACGTTCCCTGTGATAGTGATGCGGACGAATACTTTGACGCCTAAATTAAGGGTATAATTTTTGTTGTTTCCTTCATTTTAATTTCGTTTTATTTAATAGTTTAGTTGTCGTTATTTTTAAGTTGGAAATATTTATGAAGTTACATATATTTAATAATAGGCATATATTAATTATTTTGTGATAAGTATGTGATATATATAAAAAATTAGACCATTACCGAACGCAGAAATAAATGTCAAATAGGTTGTCAGTGTCATCCTTAATGTCATTTCAATGTCATGTCACATCAATCGGCGATTTGACGTTTTCTTGATTTTGATTACATCTTTCAAAAGTTCGGTGTCGGTTCCCTCTGAACCAATTAATATTTTCAATTTGTTGTGTCGTCACATAACAATTATGTGGTTTAATGGGATCGCTGCAATGAGTGGGCATTGATAACGTGTCGTGTACAACTAAGCTGTAGTCGTCGTACTAATACACACGTACTGGTTCTTATTACTTCTTATCGTGTCTCATACTGTAAGTGGTTCTATTTTTAATTTCTTATTGGTAAGTTTGTCGTACTAAAGTATTGGTATTTAATTAAGCCTTGTTACATTTGTTATTTTTAATAGGTAGGCATTAAAGTACAGTCGATAAAGTATTGCTTTTAAATTATTATTTAAATCTTAATTAAATTTCTCTTTTGCACTGCTTGTGAAGTGTTTATGTATACCTACGAATTGCCTATTATGCTTCAAGTAGTACAGAATAATCTATTTCATATTATGTCTTGGGTGAATCATAAATGATCACATTTGTGCTGTAGTATTTATTATACATTTCATTTTTATTATTAAAATTATGGAAATATTTAATTAAAAACAAAGCAAAAGTTAAATAAAAAAGTAATGGATTCCTAAATTTATATTTTCCTCGTTTTTTACAGAATCATGGAATTACAGTGCAAGGTACAAAATTATGAGTGGGGGAAGTTAGGACTGGAGAGTACAGTGGCAAGATTGCTGTCTACAGCCCACCCAGACATTGTTATTGACCAATCAAAGCCTTATGCAGAGTTATGGATGGGAACTCACCCAAATGGACCATCAGTCATCATTGGTAGAGATGTCTTACTCTCTGATTATATCAAAGACAATGTAGATGCTATTGGACCTGATGTGAGAAAAAAGTTTGGAGTATCTGTACCTTTTTTGTTCAAAATACTGTCCATAAGAAAAGCCCTTTCTGTACAGGCTCACCCTAAGAAGGTAATTTGTGTAATTGTATTTAATTTCTAGATTGACTTATTATCTTTTAAACTGAAGTAATAAATGTGTGTGTAGATAAGTAATGATGTGGGCGCATTGTTGTACACCATAAAACATTTGATTAAACAATGATCGAGCAACATTTTAAAAATATGTTTGTATCTACTTATTAGACTGTGGCCTTCATTTTAAACTAATATATTTCTTTCTTTGTCTTTAGACAGAATAGTCCCATTTACGCTGTACAGGACACATCAATTTGCTAGCATATGCAAAATAATGAGTTAACAGCAAGACAATTTTTATAGAATTACTATGCAACATGTTTTACTTTTACATTGCAGGACCATGCCGAAGAACTCCACAAGAACTTCCCGGATATGTACAAGGATCCAAACCACAAGCCAGAACTTGCCATAGCTCTGACACCATTTGAGGCCCTCTGTGGCTTTAGACCACTCAATGAAATCCAGTACTTCCTTAAAAGTAAGCATTTTATTAAATTATTGTCATTACTTATTACTAACGAATCATTAATGTTGAATACGTCAAAACATTTTATAATTTCATAACTTTTATAAAGACACTTAAATGGGATATAATAGGAATACCAAGTTTCTGTTGTTTCTGTCTAAAGAAATAACCAGCCAGTCCTTTAGTCATGAGAGGTTTGTTTTGTCATTTTTCCTCATAACATTTCTGTGAATAAGTTTAAGGTAAACATGATTAATTCACAAGTGATGTTTTACATTGTTACAAAATTAATGCTATGGTTTTTACTTTTGTTAAAGTAAAAACCATAGCATTAATTTTGTCACTTTAATTTTAAACAACATTAAACTTGAGTAGACAGTGTCTGCTGATTTTATTCTTATGCTAAAGAATTTACTCAATTAACTCGTTGAGTACCGTCATTATAGACACAATTAAAGAACATTAGGTTGCGGTCACCGGTGACCGCTTGGTGTTTGACAGTTTAATTTCTACTTCTTTTTCAAGTCCATTTACAACACATACATCATACAAGACTCGTACATCATACAAAAATATTATATTTACATTACAGAATTACCAGAGCTTGCCAACATGCTATCGAAGGAAAGTGTAGACAATCTGCTAGGACATCAGGAACAAGGAGACAGTCAGACATTTTTGAAACCAGTGTTCCATTCTTTGATGACCAGTGACAAAACTGTTGTAGCTAACACCTTGAACAATTTGCTGGATAGATTGAGCAAGGAAGGTGAGCATGGAAAAAGAATTATATCATGTTTATAGACTTAATAAAAATAATTAGATAATATGCTTCCTCATGGATCTATTTTGAAGATAATGCTCAATTAGTTTTAAACTCGATGGGGACTTAAATTTTTGTGTACTCTGTCTTACATAGTACTTGTGTACTTAGCACATTTTTTGTTAAACTTGACTGTTATCCTTATCATTTTCTTATATCCTGGTTGTATTTGCAAATATGAATTTCGTATAAACATGGCTCCCAGAACCGAAATGACTTAGCAGATAAGTATACAAGTTAACTGCCAAATATCCTGTTCATTTTAATGATAACATCAAGATGGTTATCATTTAATTATTTAAAATTTTATATAGATTACAACTGTCTGATTAGGTAGAATCCGATTTATAATAAACATGTTTCAATTATAAAAATATATTTGCAGCCGAAATTGAACAATGATTTCATTGTAGACAGGCATTTGTTTAAACATTCAGTATCTCTGTATAAAAGAGAGATTAGTCTATATTATGAAAATAAACATAATAAATGAATCTCTAACAAAATCACACAGATGAAAGAACACAGACGAATCTTCTCTACACATTGGTGCAACGGCTACACACTGACTTCCCTGGTGACGTGGGTTGTTTCTCACCGTACTTCATGAACTATATGGTGTTGAGACCTGGACAAGCCATCTTCCTCAAGCCTAACTTGCCACACGCCTATTTGAGTGGAGGTATGTTATACCATAAACTTATTAACTGAATCTCCCGCATCCCCAAATTCCCAATCCTCCAATCTCTAACAACGCACGTCATACTCCTCTGGTGTCACGGGTGTCCATTGGTGGCGCCGATTGCTTACCTGATGGTAAGCAATCAGGTGATATGGCTGCTCGTTTGCCGGCCTATCTGATAAAAAATTGTTACTTGCAATGTCTAAGTCAAAAGGTAGCTTATATCAATCTTCAGCCTTCTAACTATTTGTGATGTGAAAGAAAGACACACACACATACACACATGTACATTATTAATAACAATTTTAGAGCAACTATTTGTAATGGTTGCTTCTTTAATAAAAATGGTCGTGTTTGTTTAACTAATACTCAGTAATCACATTATCAGTGTTCAGGCAAAGTGTACTGGGTCCATTAATAGATAATTAAATGTAATATTTAATATTGACGCAATGAGCATTATGTTAATGCTTATATTCGTCTAATAAACAAAATTATTTGTAAGGGTCATTATTTTAAACTTGTTATTTACTTAATATGGCATTTATTTTATACGTTTTATAATAGACTAGCGTTTGCCCGCTACTTCACACCTTTTAAATTCGTACATACATAATATAATTCTTCCTCTCGAGTAATTCTATTTATTTAAAAAATCAATCAAATTCTGTTTAGTAATTTTAAAGGTCTAAATTAAATACAACACAGACGATGGAAAGCAACTTTGTTTTATACTATGTAGTGGTTACTAATTAAAAATAGAGAATGAAATGAGATATTATGATAAAGTAACAGAGGTTGTACTTCATTTAAATAACAATACATTATTATTTCTAGTTCTAAGTAAAAATAATTGCCAACACTATTATTCTCATTGTTTCTTATCTACTATGTTGGCCCGTATTTGTTCACCATGTGTACATGAAAACTTGAATATCATTATACTCTACAAATACGATTTACTCTAATCTGTACTTTAAGTACATAGTATGAATGTGCAATTTGTTTAAATACCAGCTTATACATGGATTAATAAGATATGATTTAGACCAGATTATTAGAATTTGCTTCCCCTTATCTTACTGTTTAGATTAGTTTAGCGCACGTTCCATGTAGTAGGTATTAATAAAATAAAAATCATTGTTTTTACACTCGTTTTTCTCCAGATAAATAGTGTGACTTGCAATTAACTTTTTCAGCAGTGTGACTTGCAATTAATAATATATTAATTGCAATATACGTATGTAATAAGGTTCTAGTTATTAAACTGTCAAACACCAAGCGGTCACCGGTGACCGCGACCCATTGTTCTTTAATTGTGTCTATAAAACCGGTACTCGACGAGTTAATTGTAAAAGTTGAAAATCCCGAGACAATATAACCTTACAAAGCTTTACTTACGAAGAGTATTCTCAATTTTTAATAATTCTCAACATATAGAACAAATAGCATAACGACCGAAAAGTTAGTGTTACTATCATGTTATATTTATTACTAGCGACCCGCCCCGGCTTCACATGGGTGCAATATGCATGTATTGTACATATAAATCTTTCTTAAGAATCACTCTATCTATTAAAAAAAACCGCTTCAAAATCCGTTGCGTAGTTATAAAGATCTAAGCATACATAGGGACAGACAGATGGCGAATAGCGACTCTGTTTTATACTATGTAGTGATTGTGTAACAGCAAACAGTCCGGAATTCTGCCCAGGCAAGATAAAGTAATAGCCTCACCCTTTCTTACATAGGACTCATAACATAACTAGCGAAGGAGTGCGAGAGATTATGCATTTGTGTTTACGCCTATGCCTTTAGGAATAAAAAAAGCGTAATCTCATTTTATATTACTGTTTCTTCCAGATTGCATCGAGTGCATGGCTTGTTCAGACAACGTGGTGCGTGCAGGGCTGACTCCCAAACATATCGACGTGCCAACCCTAGTTGATATGTTGGACTATAGCAGTTATGCACAGGAACAATTGCTGTTTAACCCTCAGCTTGAAGACGGGAACTCCTGTATATGGAGGCCGCCTGTACCTGATTTTGCCGTCGTCAAAATAAGGGTATGTTTTATGTATTAAGATTATGTTGTTAGAGATTGAACTATCTGTAAATAAGCATACGGTGTATTTTGCATGCCTTATCCCAAAAGGCTGGCACTTATAACTTCTTCGGTGTTGCTGATATCCATGGGTGGTGTTAATGGCTATACTATCAAGTGATCCGTATACTCAATCGCTCTCTGTTTAATAAAAATATAATAAAAAGATATACTTAAACCTTAAATATCAGCTACAACAATAAATGAAAACAATAATAATACACAATTTCAGGTGGAAAGCGGTGACTGCTACAACACTCAAAACCGATCGAGTCCAAGCTTGATAATCGTCATTTCTGGTGAGGGCGAGGTGTGTGACACTGAGCCGATACCAGCCAAGCCTGGAGTCGTCATCTTCCTGAAGGCCAGTCGCCAACTAACCCTCACTCCAGTGGAAGACAGCCACCTTGAAGTCTACCAGGCAATCTGCAATGTCTGATAGTTTTAAGTATAATGTGGATATTATGATGTATATGTGATTCCTGAGGCTATTTTTACTCATATTCAGTTAAAATTTTGAAGACTGTGCAAGCAATAAATAGGGATGGCGTAACTTCTTTTCTATTAAACTGAGAAGATTTTTGACAAGAAAAGGGTGACATTTTTTTATTAAAAACAAATGTTTTTTTAGAACAATTTGTGTTGAACTATTTAATTCAGGTTCCTCTAAGTTCTTCATGATGAAGGTATCCATTTCGATGGGACATGGGTAGTTATTAAAACAGCAGTGAATGTCAGAAGTTGTCACCTGGTCACATCGCAGCTTTATCAAGTTGATTGTTTTTCCTCAAGACCAGAGATTTGTATTTTTTATTTAACCGACTAAACACTGTAATCGTGTAAATGAAGGTTATAATTTTGAAATAAGTAATAATTTTCATCACAAAGAATAATATTTCTATGACATAATATTAAATAATCTTTATACGTTTTCGAATAATATATTTTATATCTTAGTTACATAGGCTATGACATGTTACGAATTATTTGAACATTTTACAGGAAATTATTATAATCAATTATTTAATAAATAAATTAAGGCGTGATCAGATTGGATTACAATATTAATTTCTATTCAAAAGTATTATTATTAGATAATTTGCGTTTTTTAAAGTATTTAATGAAAATATTGATCATATCATTAGCGGATTGTTATTGTATCACTCTATTTATGTTCCTATATGATTTGTATTTTATTAATAAATTGTTATTTGATGGTAAATATTTTTATTGCTTTGTAAAATGGTTTACTATCCTCTACACGCAAGTAGGTACCCACAAAGGTACAATTCATGGAGTTTAGAGATTCCTTTCGATCGGAAGGGACAACAATCAATCTAAAACGTTCGGAGAGAGTTCAGTAATACCATGGAGCCTGGTAGCGTACCTAGTACATGGCAGTAGACTCACCCTCTATTACATTTTACATGGGACTCATAACATAATTGGTGAAAATATTTTAATATGGTCGCGTCGCTTCTGTCTACCCTGTCGGGGATTAACCGCTTGAATGCACCGATATGAGACACAATAGAAAATACAAGTGTGGGAGAGCCATGCTTCAGCACGAATGGGCCGGCTCGACCGGAGTGATACCACGGCCTCACAGAAAACCGACGTGAAGCAACGCTTGCGTTGTGTTTCGTCGTGTGAGTGAGGTTACCGGAGGCCCAATTACCCTCCCCTTCCCCAATCTCCCCAATCCCTGAATCCCCAACGATCCTTGAAACTCCAAATCCCCAAAAGGACGGTAACACACTTGTAACGCCTTTGGTGTTCCAGGTGTCCATGGGCGACGCCGATTGCTTACCATCAGGTGATCCGTCTGCTCGTTTACCGGCTTATGCCATAAAAGAAAAAAAAATACATTGTGTCTCGCGTGGATCCACGTTTAGACACACGACGGGTTAAAAGGTGTATCTTAAACTATTATCAATGCTCAGATTTTAAACTAAGGAATAACTTTGAATATTTGACAATTCTTCCATAATAAAAACTGTCTACTGTCAATTTTATTCTACAGTTAAGAACTGGTGATTGAAAAGTCGGCCCTTAGTAAAATTGAAGAGTTTGTTTGTTTGAACGCGCTAATCTCCGGAACTACTGGTATCGAGGAAAACTATATGCTATAAAACATCACGCTACGATCAATAGGAGCCGAGCAGAGCGGGTGGAACCACGCGGAAGTAGTTTTACTTAATAAAGTAACATAATATCCCCGTTGGCCGAGTGGTCGCAAGTGCCACTGTCGGGCAAGGGGTCTCGGGTTCGATTCCCGGGTCAGGCAAATATAACTGGGTTTTTAAAAAAAATCTCATTAGTAGCACGGAGTCTGGGAAATGTGCCCGGTATATGGCAATAGGCTCACGCCCTGTTGCATGGGACTCATAACGTAAATAGTGAAAATAGGGCGTTACTTCTGTGTGCACCTCTGCCTACCCCTTCGGGGATAAAAGGCGTGATGTTATGTTATGTTAACATAATGTTATTTCGAGCTCAGAAAATTGTTACCACTAACAATAACAATAGACAATTTTCGTCATTTGATTTGAGTGTATTTGAAACTGAATGGAGAATGCCCGCGGTTGGTAATGCGAAGAAATAATGAACTCATTTCACGGTGGTCTACCTCTTGTCGGTGGTCAGTCGTTGGCCAATGTGAAGCTCGATGATGTTAGATTGATAAATCGTTGTAAATTGTTTTAGGTAATATTTAATACCTATTTCATTTTACCATCTTTACACTAAATATGTATATACCTAAGTCGCAAATGATATAGTGAGAGAAGGCTACAAAAGAAAAGGACAGGTGCAAAGTTTCCTCGTATCAGTTGATCACACAAACTGTGCCAATCTGCAATTAACTAAGTACTAGTCATTATAGTACATTTCAATGATTTCTATTCCAAAAATTAACATTAAAATCGCGGGTTCCTCACGTGAATATACTGAGAAAAGCTCTACTAGTTCGAACCACAGAGGGGTTCTTCCTCATGAGCAGCGTTCGCGGTCGCGGCGACGTCTCGCAGCTCACGATATTATAAAAAATTAACACGTTAAACGCCATGGGGATCACCGGTGAATTGCCTTCATCAGTTTTCTATGTGCAGTCAAAGCTTTAAATAGAAGTTAGTAATAGACATAAGTAACTATCGTCATTTCGATTTATCGATTGTTAAACACCGTTCACATAGGCATGTACCTAATACCTGATATGGTAAGTAGCTACTTATACCTAGGTGCCTACATATTTTGTAACATAAGCATTTGTGCATTGAAACATTTAATCTAATCTAGATCTAACTGCTAGTCTGGAATGTTTCCGACGGATACAACCGTCACAAACACGTGTCGTTTAAATATTTCTTGCGTCGAAGTTGCTCTGAGTTTTTATTTCAAACTAGTTGGCCCGGCAAACTTAATTCTTTCTCGCCTTTTAATCCTTTCCTGGACTTCCCCGAACATTTCAAGACCAAAATTAGCCAAATCGGTCCAGACGTTCTCGAGTTTTAGCGAGACTAACGAACGGAAATTTATTTTTATTTATATAGATAACCTACCTACTTATAATACCTTCAGATATCAAGAGCGCTCTTTAATAAACATGTTTTTTTTTAACTGAAATCTCCAAATTGCCCGACAAGAGCTAGATTCTAACAGTGGAATGTCAGTGGCTGATTATGATGACTTTTATGTCTTAAAATTTACTTAGCCTAGATCTTAGTAAAAAATATAAAACTATTATCAGAGTATTGCTATTCAAAATAGAGTAGGCGTTCGTTTAATTAAGTCAAGGATCTATTGAATTGTCTTTTATCAATTGCAACAGGCATACGCAAATAGTTACCTACTCACATTTGTGTATGTGGTCGCTACATGTCACACAAGCAACATAAATAAGCACAATATAGTATATTGTAGACGCTTAAAGCTTTTTTTTTTTTTTTAAGCGGGGAAAATCATCGAATGACTGCTCCCGCCTGGGTGAGGCGGAAGGGAGTGTCAGACTCTTACTGACTAAAAACCACCCCGTTCCTTCTCCTGCACGTCGAGCCGGAGCCCCGGTTACCCGTTAGGTTCTCCGCGACTCCGAATCGGCATCGGCCCTATTGGGCCCCATTTGTGGTGGTCTGATGGCTCTTTGAACTACTAAATACACTAGGGGACATATTAATGTCCTGCGACAACTTTGGGTAAAGTAGCGCGATGTTGCCGGACTTTGGTCCATATATCTGGCAAAATCCACGTCGCTGTTGACTTGTTTGACATGTCGCCGATACATGTCGTGATTGATTTGTCCCTTAGTGTATCCTTGGCTTAAATTGGTTCCCCTGTATCTACCTACCTATCTAAGTACAGATGTACGCGAAGCCTAAAGGATCTTGCAACAACTTCGATATCTCTACACATGGTAAAAGAATGCGATTAACAGATAGCGAACGTATATGGCATAGTTGGTAAATTGATAATAAAGTATTTGATAGATGTTTTAATTCAGCGCTGGATACACACGTGCCTTTAGTATTAGAAAGGAGAATGGACGAAATGTGCAGTATACTGACTACATAGGTGTTTGTGTGTGTTCATGTCTCTAGGCAGGTGCTTTTGCAACATTTGAAACGCTTGTTTAGTGTAAGCACCTGTCTATTAGGTACCTGTACCTATATACCTGATTGTCTCGCCACGTTAGTGTGAGTAGAGAAAATGTGATTTGCGAGTTTTCCATTCTGAATTTTTCTTGTAAGTTCGAGCTGCTTGCTTAATGGACACTCATTACCGTTCTCCTGGCCCTATTTGAATTAGTCTTGGGATCGAGGATCGGCACTAATTTTTTACCTTTGGCTGTCCTCCACAAGTCACAATCAAAGAGAAGTGACACCGCATTTTAATTATTGTAGACATTGTTTTACAAAATACATATTTGTATAATTGTGTGTAAATTGAAAGCACTTAACTTATCTACTCGTATTCAGATCTGCAATAAATCTCAGACTGACCTACCTCTGCCATGAGGCATGACCTACCCATGTCCAAATCAGGATTCTGTGAACTTAAAAGAAATAATTCAATAAGCGATACAAGCACCTTATCTATCTATTAAAATAAATGTTTATTACTTGTTGTTGTAACTTAATACTAGTGGTACTTTTACAAACAGAATTGTTTTACATTCGGTCACAAACGACTTAGCCTATATTTAAAAATAACGTTTTATCCATATTAATGTTTCTGTGGTTTTATCAAAGCCATTAAGACACCAAACTTGTAAGGACATAATTATGTACCTATGTACTTATTATATGTATGTAGGTATATAGGTCTTCATATATCAATATCATCAATACGGTACCTACAATAGACAAAAGATATAAGTGAAATTTGGTCTCCTTTACAGTACCTTAACTTAAGCCTTTGATTGCCAATAAAAACTGTTGAAAG